CGCTTTGCATTCTTTCTGGTTATCTTTATTTTGGCTGGTACAGACTGTATAATGACAAAAGCTTGATATAGTTCAAGGTAGGATTTATCGAGAAGTGATTATGCTCTCTGTCGTCAGCATAATGACTAATACCTTTTCACTGATATTCAAATCTACCTAAAAATGCCTCTTTATCTATTCTATTATAATATTATACAAAACAGCTTGTTTGTTTCAAGCTGAAATGACCAAATACAGCTTATTATTTTCTACATGGAGATCTTGGTCTTACACAAAGTATCTGAGGTTGGTTATTGGAGGTCTGATTTACAGTACAGTTGGTCATTTAGAATCTGGTGTGGATTGATCTTTTTCAATCATAGTCTCTTTTTTTTATATGTCCAGAGCACAAAACTGTATTTTGGGATGTACAGATTGTTCTGTTAATTTAAGGGATGTGGGTTTTTGTGTGTTTTTTTTCCTTTTCACTTTTTATAATTATGTCCTCACTGTAACAAAGACTACTAACTTAGGTAGCTCTTTGCCCTGTGAAATAGTCCCAGGCAGCTCCCTGTGTTAAGAGGAAGAGCGGTGCACAAATTAGTGAAAATATTAGCCTGTAAGGTTATTATATTTTAAACAAGTTTATTAAGTAAATTAAACATTTTTGTTGATTTTGTCTCAACACAAATAAGTAGCAATATAATAAAATATTTTATGAGCTAAACTGATTTTGAACCCATCAGCAAGAGCCAAACGAGAGTTTATTGAAAGCTGTACAGTAGCAGCCATTCAAAATGTCCCCACTTTCCTTGATGGGCCCTTGGCTGGTCCCCTACAATTCCTTTTTAAACATCAATCTTTTTACTAAAATATTCTGTCATGATTTGTGGACATTAAGATCTAAACAGAAGCATCATCTCCTGGTCAGACCCTGTATTTCAATGAAAGGGTGGAGTCAGAGTAAAAAAAATATGCATGCCCAGGAGAAGGCCAGTGGCTGGAAGTTGGAGTGGATTTGGCTGGGAGCTGCAGGGAAGTGGGCCTTCAATCTGTTGGCTTTTGACTGGGAAGGGCAATTTTTAATGGCTGCTACTGTAGCTGCACTATGATTAACATACATCTTTAGAAACAAAGCAATGCATTCATTAGTTGAAACATTGTCACATGTCAAAAAGTTTATGTTTTAGGAGGTGATGGTTTGTACAATTAAGCTGCTGAACTGCAAAGAAATAACTGATATTAAGGCTTTGGAATAGCATAGTTGAAATAAGTCAGTTACTGTACTGTACAGAAACGGAGCTAAATGAAAGAAATACTGAAAAGAACCACCTAATTATCTTTCATGCTAATTATGAATCAATATCTAAACTTTTCAAACATTTAACATCAGTTTTGTCCTTGCAGGTGACACTGCTAATGGAGGAGTTATATTTTCACATAGGGCAAGGTTGTTTCTTTATTTAAGTTTAATTTACTTACTCGGGTAAATATTTTTTGTCACTACATTAGTATTGGATCATAGATCAAGATTTGTGGTTTTAAGGATTTAAGTGCAACAAAAAAGCAAAAAGTTAGAAGTAGAGCTATACTTTTTAACACTACTGTGGAAAGTGTGTTGTTCTATTGCATTTTTGAGCTAAAGAGGTTTTTAGAATATGAAAAACCCTGATCTTATGATCTTAAAAGCAGTATAGGACAGGACTTGAATGCCTGATCTTTAAAGGCTCCAAATAATTTAGCAGAATGTAAAAAATCACGTATTAAGGTATGCTTGCTGCATCTACTGTAAGCATATTTCACTACTTGTTTATATCAAACATACAAAATAAATCATTCATCTTATTTCAGATGAAGACATACAAAAATATGCTTGACACTACCCCCGAACACAAAATTCAAAGGTTATTTACAGCTTAAAATGTTTTTTACACATTCTTTAACAATTAAATCCAAATGTACTTCACTCCAACTACTTCAAAAGCCCTGCATATCTGTTCATGTGTTGGAGGTAAGGTGATATGCCCCAAAGCCCTGCCCCTATTTAACCCTATCCAAGCCCTTTAGCCTCTCACACTCAATCACCTACCAGGAGCCTTCGGACACGTCGAAGAGGATTTTGTGAAGAAGCTTCAGGCAAGACGTTTTGATGGCTCTTCAAAGCTGTGAGCTGGAATGAGGTCATTATACCAACAAACACAAAAGTCACCTTAATTAAACTGTGCAGGATTTTTTTTTTTTGTTAAGAAAAAAAGAGCACAGAAACTTCTTTGTAACAGAGATGTTTATTTAGACAACTGAATGCATGCCAGAAAGAACTGTGTCACAGCAGCGGTTACTCTCTACTCTCTCATATTTCTAAATCTCAAGGAGAGACAAACTTCTGTGTGTTTTTGGGGAACTCTATCTGCTCTAATGTATTGTATCAACACTTTTCTCTTGTCAAGTTGAAGAGTGGAGGAGGACAAAGTAGGTACCACTTTCAATCAAAGATTAAGGGAGATATCCTCCAAAACTTTGGCCATAATCTTTGTTTTTCATCACTGTTTTGGCAAAAAGACAAAAATGTTCAAGGGAATTTTACCTCTCACACAAAACACATAAAAAGACAATAGAAAAAGATGCACTTACTGTAAGGTAGCATTCACATGCAGTATAACGTGTCTTCTCCTAAGACTAGATTTAACATTATTCTCTACTATTTCTTACAGAGATTCACAGCTAATGTTTTTCAGTTCGTAAAAATTTATCTTACACATAACAGCTACTAGATGAAATGAGGACATGATGGATGGATCGAGAGAGAAAGAGGACATGATGAAAGGCAAAAGAGATAAAATTGTGCTTATCGTTGTCAAAAGGGTTAATGAATCCACAAAAAGTCATTGTGCTAAACCGTTTTATCCTCCCAAAAAAGGGGAACTCTTCAAAAAAACTTTAGCCAGTTGGTCCAGTAATTTGATTTTTTTGCTGCCATCATTTTGCCAATGCACCGATGAGCAAAAATATCATAATATCAAAAATAAATCCAACCCTTTCACAAAAAAATGAACAATAAATAATAATTAAGTGGTGCTCTTGTAGTGTATTTTAACTGTATATACACAGAAAGTTAAGGTTGTTGTATATATATGTACACAAAGCAATTCAGACTGGGAGATTAGCATAGCTTTGAACTGGGATTTCTGTCCCAGTTTTTATTATATATATAAAAAAAGTATTAACATTATAAATTACTTGTGATATTTAGGGGCAGATGGGATTACGCACATACAGAGTGGAACAGAGCCTTGCAATAATATTCATAAATGTCACATTTTGATGCGTTACAACCACAAACTTCAGTGTATGGAGGAATTTTATGTAATAAAAATAGAGTAAATAATTTCAAAGTGGAAAGAAAATGATGCAGTCTTTTCCCGAATTTTCACAAAGAAAAGCCAGTATAGTGTGCTGTTCGTTAAATTTAGCACCCTTTATGTTGATACCCTTACATTAAATCCAGTCCCACTACCTGCCCTTAGAAGCTCCCTAATAAATAACATCCACCTGTGTGTTAATTATTTTTAGTTTACTAATTCCAGCTGCTCTGTGGTAGCATCCGAGGCTTATTAATGATTTGGAAACAAACAGCTTCCTGAAAACCAAGAGGCACAGCAGATCAGGGAGAATGTTGTTGTTAAAACAGGCTTTGTTAAAACAATGTCTGAAGCGATGAAGATCTGATGGAGCTGTTGCTTAACCTGCCATCCGTAAATGAAAGGAGAATACGGCGCAGATGGAAACCTCCTAGAAAAGACCATTGACCTAAAAGGACAAGGCGGTCATGGAGAGCACCAATCAGTCTTGACATATTTTAGTCATGCATTCCCGAAATCTTTCCTTAATCAAACAGAAGCTCTGCCACTTTTTTTTAAAAGCCTCATGGGTGCAAAGAAAACATGTAAAAGAAGGTGTTTTAATCACACCATTCCCACAGCGCAAGATGGTTGCTTCAGCATCCTGATGTCGGGATGATTTTCTTCGACAGGAACAGGGAAAATGCCTAGACTTAATTAGAAGACGGATGGATGTAATACAAATTCCAGACATGAATCCAAAGGAGAATGTTGCAAGACTTGAAAGCTGCTGTGCATAGATGCTCTACACCCAATCTACCTGGGCTCTGAGCACAGAATCAGGCAGACATTTCAATTTGGAGAAAATTTGAACTCATATTCATTTCTTCCCTCCTCACAGAAGTGCACATGTTTGTTTTCTAAACGTAAGACAATACACTTGTACTAAAACAGTTTGTGGCTGTAATTAAAAAATGATTAAATATTTGATATGAGTACTTTTGCAAGGAGCTGTCTTTTTTCTTTAATATTATTTGTTCTGTTAAATTGAGCAGCCATTGAAAAAGGGAATCAAACATAAAAGCAAATTCAGGCTCTTTAGGTAAGGAGTAAAGAAAATAGCTTATTAAAATATTGATTGACAACAACATGCACAATGCTTTCCTAGCCTCACAAGAACTGGTTATGATGGAGAACTTGGTCTGCACAGTGGTATTAATTTGCATTTTTCTTTGTTTGAGAAATACTGGTGCAAGCCGTGCACATGTCGCTGTGAACCCTTTTCTTTTCTACTTTAAGGGTGCTGTTGTTCTACTTTTCTTCTTACAAAGTTCTTGTTCGTCAGTTTTCCAACCATTTCCCATGTATGAGTTCACACCCAGAAGTAGGTTGCAGTGAATTAATAATTTCTGCTTCCATAAATGTCTGCAGATTTATTAATGTCTCTGTAGCTGTCCTGTCAGCATAATAAGTCAAACAAATGCCTGACTTAACATTTTTCTGTCCCATTCTTGTATTAGTGGCTTATGTACAAGAGGTTGAAGGTGTCTGCCAGAATGTATCCCAGGCAAACAGGCATGTTCTCATAAATTTACAGAATGCATTCCTGGTGTTCCATCCTCTGCTCATTTCTGTCTTTTTACACAGGTTCTCGCCATTTGTCTTGTTTTTGTAACAGGGATGCAGTTCATTTATTTCATCGTTCGAAATGTGCTGATGTTTTTTTTTTTTCTTTTGTTCTGGATTCACAACCTAGAGTATGTGCTGATGCAGATGCATGGCTTTGTGCTTGGATGTGTGTAGATCTGCTTGGATGTCTGCGTCTTGGCTCCTTTTCTCAAACACTACGTGGGGGTCTCTGAAGCTCATGGGTCCTCCTGTTGCGTCCCTTCTTGTTTTCCTGCATCCGCCTCCACTTTGCCGCATGCTGGCTGCTCACCCGAGCGCCCCCGGCGACCTGTGAACCATTGCGGCCTCCCTGTACCTTTCCTCCGTTTTGCGTCTTCTGGCTGTTTTTATTGGCAGTTCCCAGATTTGTTTGGCCTCTCTGGGTATTTTGGCCTCGACTTGGCGCCTCAATCACTGGCTCTCCAGTGTGAAGCCACGGCCTGCTGTGTGGCGGACTGGCTTGTTGCTTCTGAGCAGTGGGGGCTGCCGCAATGGGCCGTAATGCAGAGTTTGAAGAACTGTCAGATTTGCTGTTGGGAGCTTTCACCTTTTTCTGTTTGCGCTCCTTTTTCCAAACTCGATCGCAAAATTCTTCCACGCTGTTCAGCTCCGGGTGGTCTAGGAGAGACAGGAAATCTCTGTACCACACCCTGTGCTTGGCTGAATTACCTGAACTGCCTCCTACACCAGGAAGCCCAGGCAGAATGTCCCCCAGTCTCTGAGTAGGAATGACCTGCAGACTGAGACGCAGCAGCGGCTGAATGAAGCCGTGTTCCACCGCCTGGCAGTGATAGATTCCCGTGTCAGACTGAGACAGGCTGCGGATCAACAGACCCTGGTCTGTACGCAGCACCCGATCATCCATCTTAATCTGAAATAAAAACACACAGACAACAATGTAAACGAGAAATTCTAAAAATCAGAGCAGTAGTTCAATGAGTCCAAACAAGACTTTTTCTTAAACTTTGATAACATAACACATATGAGACTTAGATTATTGGACAATTGTTGTAATTATAGATTAAGCTTTTGATTTGCTGTTATTTAAAGTGCTTACATTATATATATATTTTCCCCTCTCATTTACATTACACAGTTGCCATTTCCACGAAAGAAAACCTCTATTTTAAGGGAGTTTTCTTTGGTTGAATGAAAACCAAAGCAAACATTATATTTGCTATTCAATACTTGTTACCTTAATATATCAAACACAACTTCTTAACTTTTCATAAGTTCTAGCTTTAAAATAATTCATGAAATTCTGCAAAAGTGACTTACAACCAACAACAATACAATACAGTTTATGTGCATTTTATGTGATGCATCAACTCAAAGTATCACGTGACTGTGAAGTGGAAGGTAAAAATAAATGGTTTTAAAAATCTGTTGCCAGCATCATGTGATGTGGGTATCTATTCGTCCATTTTGGCTGTTAGTTTAGGGAAACTTTGATAGATTTTCTTCCAGATTTGCAATTTATTTAGTTATGTCTTTTTTTTGTTAGTTAATGTAATATGATGGGGTTCTACATACTTTGCATATGAACTGAAAGTTAATTTTGATCTCATCAAAACAGGGTAAATAATTCCATGTTTTATTTTTCAATCCATTTTTTTTTTTTATAATTGTTTAACTTAATGAGTTCTAAAGGCAAATGGATACTACAGACTTGTTTTTTTGGGGTGTAAAAATGTCTAACCCATTTATCCCTTTTGTTCCATTTCTAAATTATGTACTACCTTTTATTTCTCTGTAACAAAAAGGCCATATTCAATACACTGGGCTTAGTGGCTGTAACAAGAACACTTAAAAACATACGTAAGGGAAAACATGTCTGCGGGTTTTCCTTCAGTAAAAACTAGAATCTGCATTTCTAATCCAGCTGTAATATCAATTCAGATAAATATATAAAATTCCTTTGTTTTGAATCAGATAAGCCTCCAGACCCATGGCTCTATCTCTGCTTAACTTCCTGTATCCTATTTCTCTTCCTCACTGGATCCTGAAACAACATGGTCTCACTGACCAGCTAGAAAAATATCGCCACGGTGCAAATCTTTTCAAAATGTAATTGGTTACATCCTTGGGTCAAAAAGTGAGCCTAAATATCCACACCCATAGATCTTACACTTCCTGTCCTATGAGGTTAGAAATCAGATGTAATTGCTCATGGGATAAAACAGGAGGATAAAAAAGATGTTTTTTCTGAAGAAATGAAAAATTCTCAAACTGTTTTTAATTTTGATGTATTGTCACATGTAATCTCTACTATACAGGAACCCAATCAAGATTCAGAAACTTCAGTTCTTAAAGGATGTTTAGTAAATGTTTACACTGACCTCCTGCTTGCGATCATCATTTGGCTTTTGCAGCTGCCAGTAAATCAGTGCTCTTTGGGACTTGGGGCTGCACTCCAGAAACATGCTGCTGTTCTCCACACCAAACACACTCCTGTCCTCTATGCTTCCTCCCAAGCCGTCCATGTCATCTGATAAAAGAACGAAAAAAACAAAACACATGGACAGTACAATTAGAACTGTGTGGTATCAATAGGAGAGAGAGTGCATGTGTGGGTGGTGTTTCTGAGTACCATGATGCTGAAGGTCTGAGCATTGTGAGAGTGGATCTCCATTTCTTATGTCCTGTCGCCTGGTTCTCCTGTGATTAAACAACAGTTTAGGAGATTATTGATAATTAAATAAGACCTGGGAAGCAATTTATGTTGCACATAATGATATCACTGTTTTGGAAAACAAGATTGTTGGTAAGAAATGGCATTTATAGACAGTTGTACTGCTCATAATCAACCACTAGAGGGTAATATTACACAATATGAGAGAAATTTGGCATTAGTTCAAGATTTATCGCACTGCTTACTCACATGAATGAACCAAGAAAATAAATCCCATAATATCTGGAAAAATGTCAGGAAAATAAACCTGCTGATCAAGGCAATGCCATGCTTCAGTGCCCTTTGCTGAGTCATTATTATGGAGCACGCTCAGAATTGTTTTGCCCTTGAAGTGCCTCCAAAAATTAGCCTCACTCTTTGTCCTCTCTTTGTGAAATTCCACTACGTCATTTGGATTTTTAACACAATGGTGAGACATTATAATAGTGCAGCTTCACTGAGTGGCAGTGAATGTCTCCTTCTTCTTGCGCTTTCAAACTGTTGATAGGCTGACTTCTAATGTAATAATAAAACAGGATGAGGACCGAAAAGAAATGAACTGAGGAAACCAAAATGATACAACTAGTTGAAATTTTTATTAAGCATTGTGTATTCTACCAAAGGGATTGACATTTTGCATATTAAACATGTACTAATATACCTTAAGCTATTTCACAATTTGTTACATACAGCCACAAACAAATAGTGCATTTTATGATAACCTATTTTATTTTTTTGGCTTTTTCTTATTGAAAACTTCTTTTTACTGTGGTATCCACAATAAAATCCAGTGCAGTCGATTGTGGACAGTGTGGGACATCTGCAGCCTTAAGGAGACCCTGCTCTCTACCTAGGCTGACTGACTGCAGGAAAATAATTTATTATAATTTATTAATGCATCTTGAGGAGCTCAATATATCTAAACACTGAGTATTCTAAAGAATTGATGGCTATTATTTTTGCAACAATTGTGTTTTTTATTGAGCAATAGGGAACAAAGCTATACCAAACAAGGTTAGCCAGAACTATCCTTGTTTTGTCTTCTCTATAAGTCATGTAATTTTTGCAGACCCAACACATATATGGTTGTATCTGCAAAAATTGATTTCCTTGGTCTACATAAAAATGTTATTTGTGACAGAAGATTAATGCTTCACGTCACTCAGACTCAGACTCAGACAACCTCCAAACAGTATTTAAGGCATTCACTGGAGTTTTTTTATTTTTTATTTTATTTGACATTTAACTACGTAGTGGATTGTATTTGATCATTTGTTGACTTCCTAAGGTAATTGCTTTACTTTTCTATATGTATTAAAGTTAAGGGGCCTGATTAAAAATGCTATCCACACTTATGCACAACTTTTTAATGGTGTACCAAATAAAATTGTGACAAAATAAATCTATTTGTATAGTTATATTGTGAAAACATATAAATAGGAGGAACACAATTTTTTTTCCAGGTATGGTAGAACTCTCTGCTGTGCTTAAGCAAGCTATGCGTAACATATTCTCCATTGCTCAAACATTTTCTTTGCATTTCTTCCATCTTTTTATGTCTGGTTCGTGTTTTGGGAGGGAAACTATTTGCCGTGTACACCATGGGGAGTGTTTTTTTGGCTGTAACCCATGCTGGAGTAAACCCATTGGCCTACTTCTGGTGGTTCGAGAAGTTCTGCATGAATGAGACGGAGGGCTGGTGTCGTTCAATACGAGTGAGAGCTGCAGCATTCAACATAAGCCTGCTGGTTAAAGCGGAGGGTAATTTGAGGGAGTTCATACCTCCTGGCTGCGGGGTGAAGCGGTCAGACAGCTCCTGTTGGCTATAATTTAGTGCATGTGAGCAGGGTATGTATATTTATGAGTATGTGTGTCTGAGTGTAGCCCAACTGTAGGGTGATGGACACAAAACTGCTGCTGGCAGAAATTCTAACCCAGGTTCCCGGATTGTATTTCTTGGAATGCATACTTAAGCTTGTGTGTATTTAACGAGAATTTTTTGTGCCTGTGTAATAATGTGATTACTTCCATCTTAAGGTGTATTGGCATGTGGATTTTGTCTCTTTTAGGGTTTTGGACTTTCAACAGTTGCTAATTGGCCAGTGGAGGTCTGCCCTTAGAGGAAAAAAACCCTTATGATCCAAACAAATCAACAATCTTAAAGCCAAATGCAGCTGCAGTTCACAGGTGTAGCAATAGCTCCAAGGAGTGACTACATTCATTATTATTATTACAAAGAAAACACATAAAGCCTAAACAGACCCACAGAGGATAAATAAAACTTAAGAGGAGTTTTAAATATGTCCAAGCTCCTACCTCTTGGCGGTAGGAAAGTATCTGGAGCACTCAGCACCATCCCAGGCACAGTAAGGGTCTCTGGCCAGGCAGCACTCGGCACAAGCTTTCCCATACACCTCGCAGCGGTGTAAAGACATCTGTGATACTCCTAGGGCTGAGCCAAGGTACAGCTGTTGCTAAAGAAGTCAAAGAAAAGGCAAGGATGTAAAATTCCACTTTCCTGCAAGGCAGCTCAGCTGGAAATAATTGAACAAAGAAAGGTGTTTGTGGCTTTTATGGTTAGGAACATTTTCCATGTTTAGTTAAAAACCAACAAAAGCTAATTCATTTGTGTCTCTTGGACAGGTTTGGAAAAATAACAATGTGTAGAAACAAGCTTTTACCTGTTTGGTGGAAAGCTCCATGGCAGTAATGGGAGTAGGCTCCTGCACAAAACAAACACAAGGTATTAAGTTCACAATATCAGTAATGAAATTACAGAGTTACCAAAACAAAGAGATTTAAACACCAAAAACTGGTGAACAGTCATTGTGACATTTTAATGTGTTTCATATCGTAGAATTACATACATTTTGCAGTTTTTTAAACCTTACCCTAAAAACAGTCATTTCCTCGAGAACAACCTCCTCCAGGTCATACCAGCTCTCTCTGGGAATTGTAACCACTTTTAGCACTGTTCCCATATCTGAAGACAACATACAAAAATATGAATACATTTGCAAATGATCATCATTTGAGAGATTAGCTCAGCTAATGCAGATTGTTTAAATATCCTTAGCATTATCTTTCAGACACTCCATGATAGCGGTCCACTGTAGTTCAAAACAGGGCATTTAAACATTTTTAAGTCCAGCCTGCTAAAAGTCCCAGCAATCTAAACTTAGCTATTTATGCTCATTTTTGTCAGTGGCAGGAATAGATTGAGTCTGGTGGAAATTGCTGTGGTGAAGTGAGCTTGAGAAAGAATTAGGAGTAAAGGCAGAAGTCATGTGAACTAAGCTGAAACATAAATAATTATCAATTTATTGCTTCAAAATAGGTTCAAATCAACTCAGAAAAACCTTCTAGTCAGGGACTTTTTTTTTTTGTTTTGTTTTTTGTTTTCTTTGTTTTGCAAATGCAAAACTTTATTTTTTCTCCAAAAGCTAAAATAACATCTCTGTCAGATAATGTCTCCCACCCCATGCATGAAGCTGTTGCTGGACTGGAAAGCTCATTTAGTGACAGACCGCTGCACCCTAAATGCACCATGGAGCGTTATCACAGATCCTTTCTACCAACATATCTGGGAGTAAGGATCTTAATACCACTGTTCCCAACAACCTCAATACATTATTACATTCATGCTAATTTTTTGCAAAGTTTCTGCCTTAGTAAAATAACATGCTGCTGTCATTTTTGCACGTCTCTGGTGTTGTTGCTTTTTTTCCCCACATATCCATTACTGTAAAAACTGTCCACAGCTGTATATTATTTATTCTCCAGATGCACATTAATTATATTGTAAAAACACTGTACAGTATAGTATTTTATATGTTTCTTAACTCTGTCACTTATTCTGTTATTTTTATACACTTTTCCAAGGTCCACATTGTGTAACCACTTGTGCTATAATCTTTTGCTCCTGCTGTAACACCACAAATTCCCTATTGGGGGAAAATAAAGGGATTGTCTCTTCTATTATAATGATATAATGTCTTGAAGCAGTATTAATTCCCAGTTCTACTCTTGCATTTTTCAATGTTACAACCAAAAAACCCTAACATGTATTATTTGTATTTTTTTGGCTTTACTTACGTAAATAAGAGCAAAAAGGAGCGAGTTATATTTTATTTGTTATATAAATATAATGAATGAATTTGCTTATCCATCCAATCAGTCCAGTGTTTTATCTTCACTGTCATATTGGTTCTTAGGTTTATGAACCTGTTGTGTGAGTAATGATTATACCTGTGCCTATGAACATGACATCGTATTGTCCGTCCTCTGCTTCAACTCTGTCCACCACCAGCTGGGAGAACTGGTATTCCACATCTGTTCGAACCATGATGGGCCGCCCCCCAATTGGGTGCACTGGGTTGTACATGGCAGGATGTACCCTGGCAAAGGTGATGACGTCGTCGGGAAGGTCCTTGGTGGAGTCAAAACCTCCAAATGTTTTGCTGGGGCACTAAAATATTAGAAAGAAAAGCTGTTTTTATGTATCTTTTATTGTAGTCTGATGTAAGCTTTATTGCACCTGCAAAACCCAAGGATATTTTGGATCCAAACTCACAGTGCCAGGGCGGGGGTAGGGCACCCTCCCTTGGAAAGGCACCCATTGGTAATTGGGCCCATCTCTGTGGGCATAGGGACCAAGGAAAACCCTCCTGATATCAGCCATGCTGTACATACACACTGCCGAGCCTTTAAATATGTTGCTGTGGAAGAAGAAAGTCAAACATAGAAAGTGTAAGAGTTCAAAAGTATATGGAGACCATGGGAGGGGGAGTAAATGTTTATTATAGACAAACAAGGGGGATTCAGAAGTGATTGGACACAAAGCAGGGATTAGGAGCTTGTGGAATACTGAGGAAAGACAACAAAATTACCCTTCATCGCATAAAGACGAAGAGAAGCTAGGCTGTCATTACCTAAGTACTAGATGATAGATTGGAACTTCTCTCTGACTGTTTTCAGCCCTGTGAGAGCAGACAGGAATTTGGGCAAGCTACCAACAAAACAGAAGACCTGCTAGAGAGCTTTTCTTAAAATCCCTTCCAATATTTTTGCTAGTCTTTCCTGAGCCAGATGGATGGATTTCACCTTCCCTGTTCAAATGAGTTCCAAACAGGCGAGGCTGAACAATCATGTGGAAAATAAGGGTGGGGGTATCTAGTATTCAGCTTGTCATGGTCAAACAGACAGCAGCAATTTGAGCATTGACTCATTTAGGTGGGGAATTTGGTCATTGCAAATAATTATTACTAGATCATACATGACACAATAAAAAATGTTAACTTAAGTCAATAACTGTTCAATCATATATATCATTTTGTGTTTTACAGTTTTGCAGGGTTGCTGTACAGTCTGTGAAAATGTGTTTAATCTAATAATTTTCTAGACCAGATATGAATAGTTGTATTAATGGCAAGGCAAGGTGAGGCACGTTTATTTGAAGAACACATTTCGGCAATAAAACAATAAAGAGTGTTTTATAGGATGCAAACATAAGGAAAGAAAACACATAATTGCACATTGCCGTTGCGTAATAAAGAAAACAGCTGGACTATAAACAGAAACTAATGATGTCTCAGTTAATAGTTTAAACAGTGCAGTCAAAGACAACTTTAAACAAATGGGGTTTGTTTAAAAGATGTCAGGCCTTCAGAATTGTTTTAGTTTTTTTGGAAGCTTGTTACAATTAGTGCAGCATAAAAGCTAAATGGTTCTTCCCTCGTTTTTGGTTTGTTTGTTTTTAGGATGGGAAGAAAATTGAACCTCAGAAGACCTAAGTGGTCTGGAAAGTTGATAGGTGAGCAAATATTTAATGTATTCTAGCACTGAGCCTTTTAGTGATTTGCAAACTAACAAAATTATTTTAGTCTATTATCAAAGATATAAGGACTCAGTGTAAGTTCTTCTTTCTAAAATTAAATGAAGACACAAAGGGCAGCATTCAGCAACACGCTGAAACTTTTTAGATTGTTTTGGCAGGCCCCTTTATGCACCCCTGGAGGTTTAGATTTGAGCTCTATGTGACCATTTCTCCAGTTGTCCAAGAACTATATTTATTTTTTCTTTTTTATATTATTAAGCTGAAGAAAACTATGGCACATCCCTAAAGAAACAGGCCAACTCCATTTTTTCCTGTGCTACTCAACACTTTAACCCAACTCAACTGTATTTATAAAGACCTTTAAAACAACCACAGCTGCACAAAGTGCTGTACATATCTGGTAAAGTTGAAACAGTATAAAAACAACATAGAAGTTTAAAGGAATAAAACTAATATAATAAAACAAATAAATGAAAACCAATAAAACTAAATGGATTTTAATGAGTTTATAGTCACCTGGTTAGATTCTAATGTAAAGTTGTTTATCATCCACAAAGTTATGAGAACTTTTTGTGTTGTTTGTAAAGGTCTGATCTTATGAGAGCATCTAGATTCTAAATACATGAGATTCCAAGATGGAACCTTGGAAAAACCCTTTGGGTACTTTTTTCTTTTTTTTTTTATAAACTATGATTTAAAATCATCTGTTGAGAGAACGAATATTGTTTATTCATTCATTTTTTTTCTTTTCTGGCTGATCAAAAGAAATGTATAAATATTAAATAATCATCATTTTAACTTAGCACTTGTTGTTATACTTTCATTTTCTTTAAAGGATTGAAAGTACTGAAAACTGTATTCTAGAGAAATATCAAATTTTGACATAATAATGTGCAGAAATCAAGGATTTAAGCTTAGAGTGATCATTCAAGTTTGTCAGTTAGCTCTTAAAACCTAACCAGAGACTATTAACTAATTTTCAACGTTTCACCTGCTACCTGTCATGTAAGATCTTACATTGTAAGGCAAACCTTCAGCTCACTTAATGAACTAAATGCCTAAAGAACATTCATGATGTCCTTTGTCTTGCTGACTACAATAGGAAATTGTATCAGGCTAATAAGGGATGTGGCTGGCATACGCACACAGCTGACAGTCTTCACCAAAGCATGAAAGATGAATGGATTAGCATTTGGAAATGTTAATTACAAAGAAATTCAATTAACTCCAGGGGCAAGAAAAGACACTCCAAATATATACACTTAGGAAGAAGTGCGGTTATGTGTTTGTGCAGATACCCAAAATACAATGCAGGAACACATACACATGCACGCTCACACCCACACACACACAGGAACACAGACGTACAATCAAACATTGATCTGTCAGTAGTGGTTTCCATGTGCCTCATTAAGCACTGATATTAAAAGCCAGTTCCTTCTGAGTATCTGCACTATTCATCTCTGGAAATCGGCCACTTAGAAAACCAATTAAACCTCTCTAATTACTCAATGCCCCTAATTGAATTTTTAAAGTGCATGTGTGTGTTGCTGTACAGCAGACTTGAGACTAGGTAGGTGGACGCCTGCCAACATGCACCAGTCTCAACATAGAAAAGCCATACGGGTGTTGTAATGTAAGGCATCTGTCTGTATGTGTTAGCTCGCACCGCGGTTCCATTCAGCTCATCTTATCATTGGCTGTGATTAATGGAAATGTGTAGGTTCTCTTTTCAAAGCCTATCACACACAACAGTGGACGCAACCCCTCCCTTCCTGAATGCAAATTTACCATCATCATGATAAGTGCCACCATCTGTGCCATTTTAGCTCACTTATTTGCCCTTCCCCGTGCCTTCACCTCTCCACATGATTCACAAGAGCCTCGCCCCCCTCTGAAATCCCCATTCATGGCTGGGGCGGTGGCCATGGGAGGAACGTGCATTCCTACTAAGTGAATATCATGTTTCTCTGGCTCTCTCATTCTCTGTAATCTGATTTCCACAACAAGCTTTGCCAGGGTTTGAATGAGATGGGGACAGGTATGGAGGATTGAAAGTAATTCCAAAGCAGAGATGGGGGGAGGTTTAAGATTGGAAAGGTAAACAGCCATGGGACACCTGTAAATGGATTAGATGAGGGCCATCTGGGAATTTTAACAGAGCCATGTTTGCTCAGTGATATTCTCCTCTGAGATTCAAATAACGGATTGGTCGATTACTTGATAGGATATATAAATATTTAGAGTATTAAATAAAAAAAGAAAAAAAAAACATGCTTTGCAAAGAGAAATAAATCAACTCCCTCTGATCTAGCAGCAAACCAGAGGTTGTTATACTGTTCCATGAATTAAGCACTTAAGAGCAGACACAAAAGGTCACTGTATGAATGATCTGTACCTGGAAGTGGTGAATACAGCGTAGATAACTGGATTCTTTGGATCCTTGGAGCTCATGAGAAATACATCCTCTGCAAAACAGACACAAAATGCGAGAAAATCTTTAAAGAAATGATCAGTGACCATCTTTGTAAATGTTTTCTTTTCAAGAACCCAGACTTACGCAGTTCGTCAAAGTGTGTATCGATCCCATTGACCCCAGGAACTGAACAGATAAGCCGAGCCTTCAGAAATGTAGTCCACTTGTTTACAAGGCTCCTGTGACCTCCCATATCATTCTGCACAAACAAATTACATTTCTGTCAGCATGACTTATACCTCAATTACCAAAACAGAATTAAGTAACAAGGGTTTGTTCATTAATATTAAGATAAAAAGAGGGATTTTAGTCTCTTTATGTGTGTTGTTACCTTACACAGTTGTCCTATCCTGGCAATAGTAGCCTTCCCAGTATGTTCTCCATCCATTGCATTCTCTTTAAAAAATAGGAAGATCTTGTCGTCCTCAGGGTTGTCACTTTCTGGGATTAAGTGTACTCCAATAAATCTGGGGTCTGGGGAAAAACGATTGTCAAGAAACCAGATCTGTTTTAAATCATGGTATTACACAATGACCTTAAATACTTCAAGTTTAAGAGATTTCCAAAAAAGGATTCCAAGTAATAAACTGGGGTCATTTTATGTCATATCTGATTCCCTGACTAAACTCAATGACTAAAATCTGTAGCTGATATATGATGTAATGTTTTTATGTGCATTCAATGCATTTTGCTTTCTTAACAAATCTCAGTTTTCTTAATAAATCAGTGGCTGAAGCAGGTTCCCACTTGGCAACAGGACACATCTTTTCAAAGTAGATTTTGTCTTGAAACATAGAGAAAACACTTTAGCATTTAGGTAGATTAAATATTAATATATTAATCAATACATTAATAATATCTATTAATATAAAGTATTGGTATCAGTAACATGATATGAGTTTTAGGACATTTAGAACAAAAATATATTTTACAGAACTTTAATTTTTGTGTTCTGTAATGACAACAATGATTAATTATTATGACAAAGTAATTCCTCCATATGAGATATCTAGTGCCAGAAAACTCTAAAGTGAAGAAGATTCAATTGACGAAAACTTCCATGTTATTTTGCTTTTAGAGTAACAAGAAAAAAGTCACAAGGAAAAAGCAAAAGTCAGGAAATACAATGTTTTTAGCAATAAGCTAGGGAGGATCGCAATGAATTCAATGAATTGTTAGTACAAAAGCGGAGTAAGTTTGTAACATTGACATATATTTTACAAATAAAATGAAAGACACGAGTCCCAAAGGTATTTTAACAACAATATAGGTTAAATTTCACTTCAATCTTCTTTTCAAGACCCTAAGATATTCATTTAGATGATTCATTTACTGCAGATGATAGATGTAAACGGATACTGATTAAAATCTATTACCGTTGGAGGCAACTGTAATCAATGGAATGTTTTTTTACTTTTGTGCATAAACCATAATGCAGAAAAGATCTAACCAGTTTAATATACTTCCTCTCCACAAAGCTCCATCCAAAAGGGTCTGGTAAATGCAAAAAGTAACACTTCCTATTCAGGGATTTTTGTCTGCCATAAATATCTATAGCAGAGTTTTTGCATTCTAGGAATTTTTATTTTAGCACTGAAAATGGTAATTTCAAATTCCTATCCATATACCTCTGCAACAAGTTTCTTCTAATTTCATTTTGTATGTTTATAGCTCAGTAAAGCGTTAATTGCCCAGCACTTCAAACCATTTTGCTTCACTGTTTGAATCCAACAGTAGCGAGTGCTCTAGAACAAAATCCAATAAAAGCATTGTGCCCTTACCACATGCTCTCTAAAATACATGCATCTCGTTGTCCTCGATGACACGAATAACTTTAAAATGAATTTGAAATGATATTAAGGCTAAATAGAATCCGGGATTTTTCAGGATTAAGTACCTAGTATGCAGAAAGTAACCACAACCACTGAAGGCTTCATGACAAAGTGTAAATCGAGCCTGTATCTGAAAAGCTTAGGGGTTAGCTGATTTGAAACAAGCAGTGCTGTGTTACATCTCCACAGCCTTTTAGGATATGGAGTAGCTGTGAAAAAGTAGAGTGCGGACAAAGTGAGATTTACAAGCACCGCGTTGTTCCGATATCCCCGTTATAACTCATTGTAGAACTTATGAACCTTACAGGTGAATATGTGCCATTAAATCTGCACCATCAGGAATCCATCACGCTTAAAAAGCACTCCTCAATCAATCACACACAAGGAGCTCTTTATACAGAGGATATTTTATCCAATTATAGTGTGAATAAGATACAAAGAGATCCATAAATAAAATCACTGAAGGTAAAACTACAATTTAACACTAAATCCTTACAATTCCTAAGAAATAATCCAGTATTACTGATTCCTTCTCAAGTATTGGTCTTATTACGTTAGAGTACCATGTAACCTTGTTGATAAAGGCTCAGTGGAATATCCCCTTCCCAGTAATCCATGCAATTACAATCCCCTCTTTGTAAAGATGCCGCTGGATTTTGCAGAGCTGAATGGCTGCAATCCCCGCCGTATTTGTTTGAACAAGGTGAAAGATTTGTGGGGATTAGTGCAGTAACAAAGACCCCTCCTTTTTAAATAACTCCTATTAATATGTCACGGTAATCAGCACCACCCAGGCTAGCATTTGAGATTTGGAAGGTATGGGTGGGTTCAGAGGAACTGGAAGGAATTTGACTCCACTACAGGAAAACGGTTAAAAGTGGGTTGGTTCTATGGGAAAGAGGGAGGAAAGGGGATGGGACAACATGAGGGAAAAGTTCAACCTGACCTTTAGTGGCTACCTCAGTTCTCTGCCAATGATGAAAGATAGCCAGACAGACTGAGGAGTCAATGACCCTCACAGCAGCTCTAATCTTACTAGAACAGTCAAAATCAGGTGACCTTGAACAGGCTTTAAAATCTGATGTCCGAAAATAAATGGACATTATTTAAGACTTTAAACAACAACATGTCAGAAAATGTTGGTGGTCAGATGCTGAAAGGTTCCTGAATTAACCCTGATTACTTTAGCTTTTCCACATGTTCTTCTCCCATTTGGAATAAAATGGGTAAAAAAAACAAACTAAAAGATTAAATTAACATCGCTGGATCTGTGAGAGTCAAAAGTGAATATGTTTTAACTGTTAAGTCCGCGCAAATTCTTAACAATAATAACTTGTTGATAACCTGTCCCTCAACAAAGAGTGCACAGCTGAAAAGCAGGACTTTGTGTCTTATAGATTAGTAATTTTAAGCTGTGATATCTTTTTAGTCTTATTTCATCAGTTGTGAGTAGATATTGAAAGACGAGTATTAAGATGTAATTTTTTCTTGTAACAATGGTCCACGTTTATTTTTTTCAATAAATGTTAATCCTATTTAACGTAAAAAATATCCCTTATTTAAGTAAAAAGTTAAAATTCCCTTTTTTCTATAATCTTTTTGCTGTTGTAAACACCAGAATTTCCCTCTTGTGGGTAAATAAAGGGATTTTCTATTCTAATTTATTATATTCTAAATAGTGGGAACACAGTGCAAAACCTAAGTATCTCATTTGTTTGATGTAAAAGAAGTAAAAATTTGTTACCATTCAGCCATCTTGAATCGTGCTGCTCCGTTCTGATTGGATGATGATCTCCGAGGGTACGGAAAATGGCAAAGTCCCTTCCCATGAAATCAGCAGATGTTCCAGAGTACAGCTCTCCATCTGCCACGGAGGAGAGTTTGTCAGAAATGAACGAACACCTCTACAGTACATGTGCACTCCCTGGAGGTGATAAAGACCATGATTAAACTCACCGAGCAGGAGTGACGCTGAAAGCATTTTAGGGTCGTAGGGGCTTTTCCCTCGGCCATTCTCAAACTGTGAAGCCAGTCGGAATATGTTGTCCTGTGGTGAAAGTGGGGTCAAAGTTCAGCTGGAGGCCACTGAAAGCCACATATAAGCCCGGTTGAGGGTGCCCTTATAGTCTGTGTTTCGAGTTACAATATATTCTCATTTTAGCTTGCTATTTTTGGTTGGGATGCAAAGCAAATTCAGTCTGACATGAGCAGTGAGTAATATGTTTTTTTTTATAACACTGTTATGCCATTCCGCCACAGGTCAACAATAGTTTCTGCAACAGTGAAATCCAGATATTAAAATAATATAGTAGGATAAGAGCAGAAACAGAAGAGAAGCAGAATTATTATACTATGAAAACACCACTTTAAGGTCCAATGAACAAATGTCAAATCTTAGCATCATAGTGCAAACAGCTCTCCCAGTTATTGGTCTGCTGAACTCATGCTGGTGCATTGATTAACCTGCAGACCTCTTCTAAGAAATATAATCAATCTTTTATGTGGGAGAAGAGTTGATAAATATCCAGTCACTTCATCTGAACTACAGTATTTACACAGACCGCCTCTAATGTTTCTTAAACAGAAGAAAACATAGCATGTAAAATGACTGAACTTAATCCTGCATTGGTAGACCTTTCAGAATTTGTGGTGTTTTTTACGCTCTTTAAGAAAAGAGACTCCCTCCTGCATGTAGATGTACGTCCATAACTGATAAAAACAAATACTTTTGAATAAATTAATTCAAATCATCAGATACCTCTGCTCTTTTGCCCATTTCCAGGTAAGCACAGATGGGGTGGAAGGCTCCTGTACCACAGATGTACAAATGGGTCTGATTGTATGGTTGAAGGACCCGAATGAAATTAGAACACTCCTTCTGAAAAACAAGCCGAAGAAACACTAAGCTTTAACTTTACTGATAACTTACAGAAGGAAAACATGAACTGTGAAGTGAACAAAAATAATAAACATTTACAAAACATAAATACATTTGTCTCATACATTTGGTGGGATTTTCCCCCTGAGTCAATATTTCAAGGACCAACTGTCACCGAACAGCAGTTATCAATGATCATCTTTTTTATGTCTCTAACAGCAATGCACATCTGGACACAGACATTTTTGTCTGTTCTCCTTCATGACATAGTTCAAGCTCACTGTTAAAAGGAACCAGACGGGTAACCCCTACAATGTGACAAATTGCAGATGGAATACAATGCTTTTTTTCTAAGGAATGCTTCCTTGTAACTTTTCCATTAAAAAATAAAGAAAAGGGAAAAATATTTATACAGAGAAACACCAAATCATTGTCCAATCAACGGGTTCTCCAACTTACACTGTGGATCTCTGTCATTCCTCCATAACCAATGATTCAATGGAATCACCTGGTTTCCTTAGAAAACCTTTAATCTGACCGACTGTGTGACTCACTGGAGATTACATGTGTTGTAAGTTGGCCCTATATTGAATAAATAAAATGGATTGAAAATTCACTTGTTTATGTGTCTCATAAAATGTAACAAAAATATGATATTGTAGCACAAGAAAATCTATAAAAGAATACTTTGCAAGATAGCCTTTTCTTTTAAATGTACACAGAATAACCAAAAGCAGTAAATATCTGGGTTTGCAGAGCAGTGTTGAAGATTTTCCAGTATAAGCAGTAACTTTCCAGTTGGTTTGGAAAGACTTATGAAGTGGAGTCTCCATCAAGGAAATCCCACCTGGAAGTCACGTCAGGCGAATCAGCCACAGCTCCTTTAATGATCCATGTGCTTGAATTTACTGGGGCTGTTTGGTTTGGCTCTCCTCTAATTCCTGATTGTTCCAGCAGTGTGAGACTGTTTATTAGAGTGCTAATCAGCAGCACTGGTTAATGCAGGAGGTCTATTAGCAGCCCCGAGGAGCTGAATTAGGCACATGTGTTTAAGGGATTAAGCTCTGGTTAGCTCAGTTATACATGCATGCTCAATATCCACCTGGCAAATAGGTACACATGTGGAGGAAGATTTGGAAAAACAGAACACTTCACATTAGATGACAGCTAAATTACCCCTTTCTCTTCCTGCCTCTTTTAACACATATATCCGTACAGTCTTTCAAGCTCACAGACACCTCGCTCTGATTATGTGGTGATGTCCCTGCTATGTGAGGCAGAAATGGATGCAGGGCATCAGGTTGACGTGATGACATTTTCCAGAGCAGCATGAATTAACAGTGTGATCACAAGCTACAAACCTTTCCACAGCACAGAAATTTCTGTTACTTTTCAAAATGGTATAAAAGTGTTGTTTCAGCTCTGGTGTTTTCTCTTCTTTGGTCATTTGCTTCAGGGGAAAGTTTGAGTTTTGGAGAAATAGTGTGCTTTATTTTTTGTAAAAAAAAAAAAAAAAAAAAAACAACTCTTCATCTTAGGAATGCTGTTGGAGAGATCTGCTGGCTAACTTCTAGCAGCTAGATTGTGTGCTCATATATTGTGAAAAATGCTAGAAAGTGGGATTTATATTTTCATAGTTGGCTACAGGATGAAAATTATCTTAATTAGATGTCATTAGGGTCTCAAAAATGAATCAAAATCACCATAACCTAAACAAGTCTTTGGAAATAAAGTCATAATTTATGAAGAAAACCAGTTAAACTGAGCTGGAAGGAAAAACTGTTCTCCAATAATTTGCAAATAAAACGTAACATGTAAAAAAGAAAAAAAAATAATAAAGAAGGGCTGCCTAAGTGAAAAGAAAAGATGTTTTAAGTCTAATGCTTATTGCATATAGTTCATATCTTCCATAATAAGCGTAAGGTGGTGGAACTGACCAGCTCTCGGCTGCAGGACAAGTTTATGAATTCTCGTTTGAGTACCATAATGTTTTTGCAACTGCATTCAACCAGGCTGCCTTATCAAGACTTGAGTAGGGTTTGCTTTATGACCTAATTTGCAGAATTATCGATGTATATGTTATTATAGTGCATAGTGCAGGAGAGAAAAAAGTAAGTCAAAAATTATCTTGAAATGTTTGGAACTGCAAATTACTTTTCTTCATTTGATTTTTGTTTTTGATTTTTACAAATTTTACAATTCAAAGCTATTCAAAGCTTGGTAAATAAATAAATAAATAGATAAATAAATAAATATAATTTAAAAGAGACATTCTTGTGGAACAACTTATGTTGCTCTTTTTCTTAGTTTAGTATTCTTTAACTTATGGTCAACTTTACAACAAGGGGTGGTATAATATGAATATTTGGAATAATAATATTACATAAAAAGACGATGTGAGAAAACTGTAAATAACTAGCCTGGCCCTAATATATGTTCTTGAACATTTTATTCATTAGGCTGCAGCAGAGGGGTCAACATTTCCTGCTCTGATTGCAGCTTGCAGGCACTGCTGCATGAGGATTAGACTGCGTGTGCCTGTTTTGTAAAAAGAAAAATGACCCTATGGCAGCTAACAATGTTTAAAAAAAAAGACTAAGAATAATGAATCACTTCAAATGCCCAGTTGAAATTTCAGGAATAATAAAAACTATTTTACTCAATTTTCTTTCCTTTTTGCTTGCAACCTATGAGTAGCAGAATTGTTAAATATTTATTTTAAAAAGGGTTCATATTTACAAGTATAGTATATCATAATCAATTGATAAAAATGCCCGAAATTAAAACTATTAAATTTCCATAAGTGTCTCCTAGCAGAGTTGCATTGTTACATTTTGATTTAAAAATTATGAAGGATATTCATCCTAACCACCAAAAGTAGTTAGAAATGACAAATCTACTATAAAAAGTGCAAACATTATGCCAGCCTTTATGACAAATATTTTGTTATTGGAACAAAAAGCTTTCATTGCTTTTATGGAAACTGGTGAACATTAAATACCCACAAGCCTTGGCTTCCACAGTGCTCTATTGCTCTAAAATAATATTATGATTTTACCTCATTCGACACATAAATTGCTATTTAAAAAAAGGATAGTTCATATTTTCCTTTATTTTAGAAAATAAAATAGTTGATATTAACAGTTATGTGGCTAAATCTGCATGTTCTCTGACTGAGCCACAGCCTGCGTAAATTTCATTCTTAGCTTATAATGACTTTACCTTCTGTGTTTCCTCTAGTTGAACTGTTGAAGCCCTATGCCCACTCACATCATTCTCACGCCCTATTATGTGCATTTCATCAACTCCTATAAAGCCCTCCAGGGTCATCTGTGTTAAGGATTTAACATGTGTGCCTTTGTTAGATTCAACAGCTATGCGGTAGGTAAAGTTGCACCTAAACACTGACAGGTGTTAGGCATAGTGACATGAGTGCAGCTGTGTGTTGCCCTCAAGTAATAAACCGTTTCCTTGATCACAAACCGTGACAAACAACCTTCACATAAAGGATAAATGACTCAATTTCTGGATGCACTTAATCATTTTTTTGGACTGGGTATCGAGTATTACTCTCCATCAGAGGAATGGGTGGACAGATTTTGTCATGTGTGGGTAAATGTAGAGAACTTTAATAAATAACGGGATCTCTGAGTAAATTCAGATAATGCATTGGAAAAAAGAATTACTAGATTATTATTTTATTTTCTCTGTATTAACTGGGCAGAAAATCGTGAATGAGATCAGGAAACAGCTTTAGTCGTGTGTCTGAATTTGAGGTTCCCGGCATTATGGTGCAACATCCTGGGCCATGTTACAGTCGCTGGGTTACGGATAGCCATAAAGTCTGGCCATTTTTTGGAGGGGGGCAGCTGTTACATTTGTGCTATGGCTGTAAATTTTGGTTTAGAGAAACACACTGCTTTGGGAGCTCTGAATGCTTCGGTAATGACCTAATCAAGGCCTCTCTGTGTTGTACTCCATCACACCGCCTCAGCCTCCAATGCCAACATTTTCACAGTATTTAAATGCCCAATTTTGTATATTACTTGATTCTGTTAACAAGAACCAATGTAGTGGACATGATTGCAATATTAAATTATTGAAATCCCTGCAAGATTTCTCACATCATAATGTACACTTGACCTTAAACATAGCAACAAAATAAAATATTATGGTCATAGGATGATGCTTTGGGGATACTTTTAAAGGAAATGAATGCAGACATGTGTTAGAATCAGCTATTTAGAGGTTAGACCTAAACCGAAAAATCTCTGAAAAGATTTGAAAAATGCTTCTAACAGATGTTTTTAATTCAACCAGATTTAGTTAGAGCAAATTTGAAATTGAGCAAAATTAAATTGATTATATATGGAAAGTAAATATTTGGGTTATATAACTCGGAAGACTTAAAGCTTTTATTACAGTGAAAGGTGAGCCTGCATAATGATATACAGTATAAGGGGGTCAAATTCAAATAAATAAAATCTTTGTAACATTTGCACTGAGCTTTAATCCACCCTACTTCAATTCCAGTTTGATCAAATTCCCTATTCCCTTCCTTCACATATTGATACCATTAACATATTTTGCAGCTGGGAAGGGATATTCATGGCAACATGTTGGTTTTTTTTGTCCACTGCACAAAAAAATAAAAATAAAATACAACTTTCTTTGTTATACCACATAAAATTCAAATTTTGTGGTTGTGACATGAGAAGTTGATATACTGTGGAGGTAATCTTCACTTAAAGAAACGCGGAAATCTGGTTTTGAGCCGGGGCCTAGCGGGACCGCCGAGTTTCAAAAGGATGCATGCAATTTCAGATAATCGTAAAAAAACCTGCAACCCTGCACTCAAGGCTCATCCAGCCATGAAATTGAGATCAGATACAACACTGAGAGGGCCTTTCTAAACAGCAACACAAAGATAAGATACACTAACACCAGGCAGCACACAAAGTTGGTTGCATGCAGTCTGTGTTTAGCCATGTGAGCTAACACATGGTGTCAGATAACAGGAACTCAAACAATAGACGTTCACATAAAAATCACATGCATACTCTGAATCTGGTGCATAAACACGCTCCCAAATTGAATCTGTTCTGCAACGGAGCACAAAAACCTAAATTATAAACAGTGTACATTTAATCTATATGTTTATTTGCAGGTGTTATTTAGATATGAACTTGGACATAGAGGGTTAAATGTGGTAAAGGTGAAATCGAACATGAATTTTATCTGTGGTAATTTTCTAACCCATCAGTCCTATTGTCCTCTTAATAATAAAGCATGAAGATCCAAATTTCTTCTTTAAATTACTTTTATCTGAAAGGATTCTGAGAAAATAAAAAAGCAATTCAAATGGGTGATGAAAAATCAAACAGCCCTTGGAAAAAATCCAAACATGATGCCATAATGAATGAGGGACTTACTGCTGAATCCTTCCCTGCCCACTTGCATTCATCCCTCTTGGAGGGGGTGGCAGGCCATGCAATCTGTGCAAATAGGAGAAAGACAAATTCACATTAGACTGGCGTTTGAGAGAAAGACAAATATATCAGCAGAAATTATGTTAAATCCAATATGTTGAATCCATTTGTAAATCATGTATGTAAAGGGATTTTTTTTTTCTGTTAAAGTAAGTTGAAGTTTCAATAAATTGTTAAATATTGTTATTACACATAGTTAAAAATGGCCTTCAATTAGAATAACAGGTAAATAATCAAATGTTTCTGAAAAATACAGAAAAAGTATTTGTATCAAGAAATTCCAGCAGCTGTTCTAGTTCTTCACCTGCTAAAAGATAGACATAAGGTTCTACTTTTCATTTCAAATATGGTCAGAAAATCTGGTTTTGCAACTCTGACTTGAAGGAATTTAATCTTGCTGTTATTCACATGTGGCCCTTGGTGTCGCATTTATTATAAACACACATGGAGGGACTGAGTGTGCATGTTTGAGCTGCATTTAAGTAGACGGAAAAAAAAGTAATAATACTTTCACAAAAGAACTTTTTTTTTTCTTTTTTTGCTGTAGGCCACACAGATTTAAGTAGACAATGAAAATGTATGCACATGTGTGTCCATGCATTATATGCTCACAGTTCCTTTTTCCATTACTGGGCTATTTCTATTCACTAGATCAGCAGAATTTTGTTAGCACAAAAACCTAAGCAGCATATTTAACACTAATTTTATTAGTGTTAAATATGCTGCTTAAAAATTATTTATTTAATTTGAAACACAGCTTTTTTTTTTTTTTGGTATTTGCCTTGTAATGATACCATGTCTACTTGAGAATTAATGGCAAAAACATTCAGGGATGTCTTCCCCTTTTTTTGCATGGATTATGTATTTTTCATAGGTTTCATTCCCCTGTGCAGCTCTCTGCTGCCTGCAGGCAAGTCCATGTCAGACCTATGTGTCTGATAGCAGCCCGAATCAGATAAAAAGACTGTTAACCTAGTCCAGGTGGGGTAATGGAATTACGAACAGCCGTGTCTGGACTGAGACAGACAGTGGGTGGGATGAAGCAAGGAGAGAGGGAGATGAAGTAATGGAATCCAGAGGGGATTCGGGCAGCAGAGGAGAGGAGATAAAACCTGAGTGTTTTGTTTTTACACAGAAATCTTCTCAAAGTTTAAGCATAAGGAGAATTATTAGTATTATACCTGTTTCAGGTCTCTGTTTATGTTGACTAGGTCAAATGAGAAGATATAGTCCTCGGCCCCGACCAGCAGTCTCCCTCGCTCTTCATCCAATAAGAAAGTGTCATAGCTCGAACTATTTGCCAAGCCATTAAAGGTGATGAGGTTACTGGAGTCTAACATTTCTGGAAGAAGAAAATGTAAACATAAGATCACACAATAGTAATCTTGACTTTAAACTTCAAACTTTTATTTAAACAAATCAGTTAGTACAAGCAGATATGTTCACCATAATAGCATTCTGCAGACTATGTAGTTGGGGAAAAAATATCTCTCTAATCATGATGCATTGTCATACAAAAATACAATTAAGAAAATGATATGTTTCCTTAATATTCCCATAAATATTTGCATGTACCCAAAAACCAACACATGTCATTCACGCATTGGCGGTTTTAAAAGCTCACAGCATGTCACAATCAGGAACCAAGCTCAGACTGCTCAGCCGTGTGATTGGCTGAATAATTCATAAAGGAGTCAGGGACAGAGCAAACACTTTATGTAAGGAACTATGCATGAGTGGTTTCACCTACCTACCAATAAGTTATTACATAAATTACCTTTAAGGAAATTAAGAATGTAACCATAGATCTCCATAATGTTTTACTTAGATCTGCAGTCCTGTACGGGTATGAAATGTCAATGTATCACAGAGCTAAAAGGAAATCAACGGCAATTTAAATGTGGACTCAAGTCCTGCTGGTTGTTTATTAATCCGTTAAAGTTTCATCATCAAAGCTATGGTTCATCAATTATGAGGGGTTTAGTGCAGTAGGAAGACACCAACAACATTTTTACAAAGATAAGTAAAACAAAATATCTTATAATGAAAAAAAAAATAAAATAAAAACAGATCCACTGACAAGTCTTTTCAGATTTTAATTCCCTCTATTCTCAAATGTAAAAAAATAAGAACTTTTTAGGAATGATATTTTTTCCTACCAATAGGAGCACCATACTAATTGCAATCAGGTTCCACACTCAAATGTGGAAGCTGTTCCTGAGCAAAAAATACAACCTTTATTTGCTGCACTATAAGGAATAACATAATATTAACTCATGTAGTTGCACTGTTTGGGATAAAGAGGGGTGCAGTTTAAAAACCCCAATGGCTTTTCTCCCATTGGAAACTCTTTAGTTTCTGATTAGAAAGATCTGTTCAGTTTCCATGGAATGCCATCGCATTAAGTTGGACAGTAGGTTGTAGTATCATTCTGCAGTAGTATTAAGCAGTATACCACAAAGTATATTTTACAAATATAATAACTTGCACTAAGAAGAAAATTTGAGACATATAAATGCAACAAACAATTAGTTTTAATGCGAAAGATCTGCATCATAGTGAGCTGCTTTATGTTTAAATACACTATATTGCCAAAAGTATTTGCTCACCTGCCTTGACTCACATATGAGCTTAAGTGACATCCCGTTCCTAATCCATAGGGTTCAATATGACGTCGGTCCACCCTTTGCAGCTAGAACAGCTTCAACTCTTCTGGGAAGGCTGTCCACAAGGTTTAGGAGTGTGTTTATGGGAATTTTTGACCATTCTTCCAGAAGCGCATTTGTGAGGTCGCACACTGATGTTGGACGAGAAGGCCTGGCTCTCAGTCTCCGCTCTAATTCATCCCAAAGGTGTTCTATCGGGTTGAGGTCAGGACTCTGTGCAGGCCAGTCAAGTTCATCCACACCAGACTCTGTCATCCATGTCTTTATGGACCTTGCTTTGTGCACTGGTGCACAGTCATGTTGGAAGAGGAAGGGGCCAGCTCCAAACTGTTCCCACAAAGTTGGGAGCATGGAATTGTCCAAAATGTCTTGGTATGCTGAAGCATTCAGAGTTCCTTTCACTGGAACTAAGGGGCCAAGCCCAGCTCCTGAAAAACAACCCCACACCATAATCCCCCCTCCACCAAACTTTACACTTGGCACAATGCAGTCAGACAAGTACCGTTCTCCTGGCAACCGCCAAACCCAGACCCGTCCATCAGATTGCCAGATGGAGAAGCGCGATTCGTCACTCCAGAGAACGCGTCTCCACTGCTCTAGAGTCCAGTGGCGGCGTGCTTTACACCACCGCATCCGACGCTTTGCATTGCACTTGGTGATGTATGGCTTGGATGCAGCTGCTCGCCCATGGAAACCCATTCCATGAAGCTCTCTGCGCACTGTTCTTGAGCTACATGAAGTTTGGAGGTCTGTAGTGATTGACTCTGCAGAAAGTTGGCGACCTCTTCGCACTATGCGCGTCAGCATCCGCTGACCCCGCTCCGTCAGTTTACGTGGCCTACCACTTCGTGGCTGAGTTGCTGTCGTTCCCAAACACTTCCATTTTCTTATAATACAGCTGACAGTTGACTGTGGAATATTTAGGAGCGAGGAAATTTCACGACTGGATTTGTTGCACAGGTGGCATCCTATCACAGTTCCACGCTGGAATTCACTGAGCTCCTGAGAGCGACCCATTCTTTCACAAATGTTTGTAAAAACAGTCTGCATGCCTAGGTGCTTGAATTTATACACCTGTGGCCATGGAAGTGATTGGAACACCTGATTCCAATAATTTGGATGGGTGAGCAAATACTTTTGGCAATATAGTGTATCACCTACTTGAAAGTTTCCAGGGGAATATTCAGACCAGGAAAGCCCTTTGGTCAACTTATTTGGTCCAGACCAAAATCTACTTATTATTTATACATATATATATATATATATATATATATATATATATATATATATATATATATATATATATATATATATATATATATATATATATATATATATATATATATATATATATTTTTTATTTTTTTTTTTTTGGTGCGGTTTGTTCTCATTGTCATTTCGCAAGTGAATTATAACTTCCAAAGGAAGTTAAATAGGAATCTCACTATATAATAAAAACATGAAAGTAGAAGGTACAGTATTTATTTATTTTTTGTTAACAACAATATGCCATGAAAGTGAATCGTTGAAGAGGTAGAAAGCAATGCACTAAGGCAGTATGCCAGAGATTTGGAAGGGTTAGATGATGCAAGATGCATTGTTAGAGTATATATGCTTGTTAGAGACACAATTAGAGTCTTTGCTACTAGGCAATGAACAGGTTGCAGGAACGTTTAGCCTTTGACCTCAGAGAGTATCAAATAGTGTCAATGCCTCCTGTTGGGGAACTCTATCATTGACTTTGTGCTGCTTTCCTATGTTACTTTGCATATCTCTAGCTTGAATCTCACTGTGTGAGAACAATCAATGCACTCTGAACACCCACAGCCAATCAGGATCAGGTGTCCCTATAACACAGAGCAGTTATCACTTGCAGCAGATAATTGACTTAATTGCAGTAATACATTACATCATATTTCTGGGACCATAACGGTGTATTTAGTTAGATTACGCATTACAAGAAACACATTACCCTTACTAATGCCGTCATTAACACCATAACTACTAACAATGGCAGTCACTGATGAAACTAGTAATCCAATGCCTGGCACTGTGAGCTGGCTAGGAGAGATTATATTGGTTGGCTGCCTGCACCAAAAACATCCTGGGTTTTAACCTGTGGATATGTTTTTTGCCTCCGGGCACTTGGGCTTCCTTCCACAGCACAAACACCTGACTTTTAGGTCAGTGGGTGTCTTTAAATTGTCCTAAGATATGATTTTCAAGGTGGATAGTTGTTTGACCTCTATGGTTCTGTGTTTTCCTATGATGGATAAACAACTTGTGCAGAAAGCGCACCACCTTCCACCCAATGACTGCTGCAGATAAGAACCTGCTAAATTCTATTGTTCATTTGGTTCCCCTCAGTCTACTTTTTTCTGGGATGCAGTTCAAGAAAGCTGTCTAAAGATTTTAGTCTAATGATTTCAACTTTAATAAAACTATACAATGAGAAGTACGAGTGTAGAGCAGCAGATTGAGAGGTCATGGAGTTACTTGTGGAGACAAGGCCACATTCACTCCTTTAAATTAAATCCTACATCAGACACCAAAAATATGTCTGAAGTGTCACAGTCTGTTTTGTTGTCTAAGAAAAAACTTTTAGCTTAGTTAGCTTTCATGTGTACGGGGAGCTTAGACTGCTGTGCTCTAGGTAACACAATTCATTCAGGGATGGATCTGACCCTTCCAAGTTACATAGAGTAGTTTTTGAGAAGAGCAGCTCCCACAGAGCATTGATGATGCCTAGTGTTGAACATTGTCCTGGAAAATAATTTAATGTATCGCAAATTAACCTAATACTTGTTTCAAAACTTACTTAAAGTGTTGCTTTAAGGTAAACTATGAAACACTTCATAGGCCTACCGTTCTTGATTAAGCTTAGATTTGTTTATACATGTTTATATTAATAATTTTCAAGGTAAATATCACTGTGTAAACCATAACTAAGGGGCCGGATATAGGCAAACAGAGCAGCTATTCAAGGACATTTTTTTCTATTTTAAAAGAGATGCAAAAACAGTTTGATAATATTCTGTAAAAACTGTAGATGATCTTAGCATCTGGTGTATGCTGAGAACTAGGATCTGTGAGTTGTATCAAACCAAACAAAATCAAATATGCATGTCAAAACCAGAAAAGATATTCTGATTTGCTCAATGACCAAGCTAAGTATTATTGAAAACACAATTGAATAACAATGAATTTATTACCATTGGTTTCTTTTAAAGACTGTAGCAGGAGGTTCATTATAGTTTGTTGCATGGTACTGGATGCAATTTGAAAACAAAGAGATCACAATTATGAAAGCTAATATGTACAGTATAACACTTGTTTTTATTTGCAATCTGCATTGTGATTGTGACATTTGGGGTTTCTGACAAACTTGCAGCATTTTACTTAAGGTTATTTCAATTGAAGCTTCAAGGGGGCAAAGCTATCCAATTTTAATGTCACTTTAGCAATGATAAATACTATAAGAATCTTGGAATATAAGCAGTTATAAAGCAATATTACGAGAAAAAAATCAATCTTTCATGAGATGTGTGTTTGTTTCTGCATGTTTATCTGAATATTTGTTGTAGCAGCATCAGCTAAAATTTGATTTTTCAAGAACTGATCTTTGTAAGAAAACATTTTATCTCAAAAGCAACATTAAAAATGCATTTTTAATGGG